AAATAAATAATATTATTTAAAAAATCGTTTTTAATCTCTAAGGAAGTGGATCAACATAAATACTTATGTTTTCTGTTGTATAAATTTTTATAAATTTAATCAGCGTGACAATTGGTTTTTTTATTTTATTTTATATATTTTTTTCTTGACTTTTTTCGAACAAAAATAGAAAACATTGTTGCATTTTACTTGAGAATTTACAGTAATAAAGGAGAATGAATAATTTATAACTCGTTACTCTTGGGATTAACAGTTGAGAGACACTTTCATTACTTACTTATTTTGTGGTCTATTATTATATCTACATGTGCATTTTTTACATTAAAAAAAATATAATAATAAAAGGGACAATTTTTATTCTCCTTATTTTTAAATTAGATTTTTTTAAATTTACTTTCATCATTTGTATGTTTAGAAACATAGAATAAATATTAATTCGAATAAAAATTGTTCTACGGTTCAATAACATTAAAAAATTGAATTTTTTGATAGATTTTTTTAGAATAGAAAAAAAGGAAAGAACAAAAAAAAGTAATTTCCTATTTATATGGAAAGGTTCTCTAAGGAAATCATAGTTCGTCAGTAGCTAAAAAAAGAAAGATGAAGTATTAAAATGTATATTTGATTGAAAGTTCTGTTTAAAAATGTATCAAGGATAAAAAGAAAATAATTTTGTTACTTTATATAAAATCAAATTTTTTAATTGTGCACTCGAAAGAGGGGGGTGATGTGTTATAATGAATGTCTAATTGGGATGCAATTTGAAAAAATTGTAGACTTATTTTCATGCGGTCTGCCCTTCCTTAATCTCGAGAGAACGGTCTTAGATAGATAAAAATCGAAACCATATATGGAAAACTTAGGGGTGGTAGGCTCCCATTAACTATATACGAACTTCCGGTCTAGACAGAAAGTCACGTCATTTTAATTCAAAAATTGTTTCCCGGAACGGAGTTACGTAGATGACCCGCACGACTCTGTTGTTGTCAGGGAAAGTATGATTTACAGGGGCAAGACTAATAATTTGAGATGGAGAGCATATGTTTTAAATTAAATAAATTAAAAATATGAATAAAAATTTTCGTCTGGTATTGTGACAATGTCGTAATAATTTATGCTCGTTGGAAGTTCAATTTAAGTGGAAAATAAAACGAAAATAAATTTCGTTATTTACAAGGAATAAGTGCTGTTAAACTACATAAAAATGCAATTAGTAGCGAGTAACTGACAACAACTTTGATTGTAGCTATCGAGATTAACAAAAGGATGAAGTGTTATAGTTCATATCTGATTGAAAATTCAATTTAAGAATGGGTAAACAATAAAATATACTGTTATTTCTAAAGAATAAATGCTATTAAACTGTATAAAGTGCAATTATTAACGATTAACAACTAGCAAAAATATAATTTATCAACATCGAAGTAAGGGGTGAAGTATTATAATGCATGTTTGATTGAAAGTCCAATTTTAAAATGAATGGAAAGCGAAACGAAAGTAAATTCTTTTGTCGTTTTACAATGAATAAATGTTATCAAACTGTATAAAAATGAAATTCGTAATAAACAAAACTTAGCGTAACATTTATATTTGAATATGTAGCGTATGTGTGTTAGTGCGCGCGGTTGTATCATCAACATTGACCTAATGCAACCAGACAAGCAACATTAAGTACGATGACGACAGTGCAGTCGCATGACGTCAGAGGTACGACAATTTTATTTGTGGACGTCATCAGAAATGACACTAGCAATAACAAAAACATTTCTGATACGTAAACGGAAGATATTCCAGGAGGAGCAACACGTTCTTCCTAATTTAGTTTATACCAAAGTTGAAGCAATAAAAATATGTCTTTAGAAAAATCTAAAAAGAAAAAACTTTTATATTTATAAAATTCCTTTTTTCCTCTTTCAATAAGTAGTAAATAATTCTTATCAAATGAGATTCTGAAGGATAGAATCGTCCAAGAGTAAATATCTCGTTTCGAATTTTTTCGCCTTTACTTCAATTTATATATATATAAGTCAGAAAGGAGTGGGAATTTTCAAGAAAGGAAATTGGTGAAATGTATGAAAAGTAATTATGAAAAATCTCGGATATTTTTCAAAACAATTGAACAATACAGAAAATAATTATATACTACAGAATCGGATAGAATTAAGCTATAAAAAAAGAAATGAGCATCAAAAAATGTTCTACATAAGCTCTCGAGATAAAAAACTAAAAAAAATCAATACTTATTCTTTACCATCTTCAATTTTGAAGAGTGATAAATTTTTCATAGCCTTCGATACTTATTGCAATTTACGAGAACAAAGAACTATTATTGGCTTGTCACTTACTTTCTATACAAAGTAAAAGAAATTTTCTTACTTTTTTTCAAAAAAAAAGACTAAGTTGAATGTAAAGAAATATATAACAGTATTATTAAACTTTATTTATTTGTTTAAAGTCATTTTTTATTAACATAAATCAAGTTATTGCTGGTCGTTTGTAACAAGGGCATTAAATCATCACAAATCTGTATCAATAGTACAGTTTTGTGATGAATTAATTGCAGACGAATGGAATTATCAACATTAAGAGAAAAGTTATGTTGATGATTGATAACTTCCGTCTTAGATAATCAAGTAGTTAAGTGACATTGATCGAGATAATGATAAAGCGTAACAATTTTTGATTAAAGATGCCAACAGATTCTTATTCGTGTTATATTAGTTTCCATGTTTTCAAGATCTTCTTTTTATTTTGTTGCGGTTTTTTATATTTTAAATGAAATTCTAGATGTTGAAAGTATGTAAATCAATACTTAAATCAATCTGTAAATCAGAAAATCTACTGTTCGTTCAAAAGAAGGAATAAGACAAATAGATAATGTATGAGGCTCTTTGTTGGAATTGAATACGTGACGTGGTAGCATTCTGGTGTTATGATCATTCGTCCTGTTGTCCAACTCTTAAGGGCGTTGGTTCGGATCTCGTTAGTGATAAATTTAAGTTTGTAACAATTCGAAATACGACAGGGTGATGTTACATGCCACTTATTTAATCCTAGCAGGGAGTATATTGTCTACATCTAAATTTTCTTCCTTATTTTGAATGTACAATATGATTTAAATAGCAATACACATACTTTTAAGCGTAAGTTTGTATTCCTATCTTATTAAAAAATCAAGATGAGATCAGAACCCACGTTAAGATCCATACTTAATGTTTGTCTTCTTTATATTCTCATAAAACATAAACAGTAATTAATTTAAATTAGCGTATGAACGTAAACCATGCTTAATTCATTTTCTATAAAAGCATAACAGTAATCAACTTAAGATTGTTTAAAATAACAATAACTAAATGTAAGGTTAATAATTACGCTGTGTATAACTAATTGAACGTGTCATAAGCTTCGCACGAATATAATAAAATAAGGTTTCTTGAAGAAAACACAAAAACAAAGAAACTTGTTTTAGTTTCATGTAAAGGCATCTAAACAATCCAATTTTATAAATTTCCATGGAAATATTTCACTTTATTTTTACATCTAGGTAGCACGAATTTATTTTCCAACAAAACTTTGCAAACATATGCATATATATATAAAATAATATAGTACCGTTGAGTTTTCCAAGAAAATTTTAAGCATTCTACAGTAACCTATAAGAAAAACATGATAAATGAACCTACTCGGATTTGAATTTTAAAGCCTCTCCAGAGAATTTTTTAGAAGTTGCACTCAAATTCTTTGTAGATTCTTTCGTATCTTTTATGACAATTCTTATCATAAAACTGAGATTTTATTCTTTGGATATTTTTCATTTTTTTAATCAACTAATTTGTAATTTTTTTTATTTATAAATTGGATAATGTTTATTATTGTTTCGTTCGCATTAATGCTTCAAAGTGATTGATCATCACGCAAAAAATACATTATTCCAGAAATAACTAACTAAATATATTCATTATAAGTAACAGGAGAGGGCTTTTTTATTTTTGATAATGTACAAAACGAAATTTTTTAGAAATTTTTTCAAAAAAATTACAATTTAAAATATATCAAAACGTTAATAAACGAGTAATAAAAATTTTTCAAAGATTAATTAATAATAAATATTTAAATACGTAACCAAACAAAAAACGATATTAAAATAAAAGGATCATTAATTAATTGTGACATTATTATTGAAAATAATGTTATTAAGGATAAATGATATGATTAATTGTATAAATTGTGTTTAGTA